CAATTAGTTCTATATGTTTGCTTATCGATCTCTAATCGAACGGTACATAATGACTGTTGTCTCAACCTGTGTTCTCTCTCCGCGTTGCCGTTGGGGTTTAAGCAGGAGTCGCTCGTGTCATTCGTATGTCTAGTCCGAACACAACAACTGGCGACGGGAAAATTTACGGATCCACAATGTCAATCACGCCAGACAAGTGACAAGCAATTATCAAAAAGTAACAAGCACAATTCGAGGCCGCGCACCTAAGGATGATGGAGACCATGTGACAACGTCTGAGCATACATCCCGATCCAGCAAAACCGGTTAAACAGTCCACATCTATTGACGCTCTTGCTGAAAGCATCACTGAATTCGTGTACGACCCAGATGCAGGAACTACATTTGATTCCTGGTTCAAACGTTGGGAAGATGCATTCCGTTTTGAATTCGCAGATGCTGATGGCGGATGGAGGGTGCGATTACTGCTCCGAAAGCTGGAAACAAAAAAGAACACGACCGGTACATCGACATGATCCTGCCCAAAAGTCCACGTGATTTCACTTTCGAAGAAACGGTCCAACAACTTTCAAACACGCTTGGTGAAAAGGCGTCTTTGTTCATTATCGGGTATCACTGCCTCAAGTTGGCGAAAAATGATACAGATGACTTTCTGACGCAAGCCAGCATTGTAAACCTGGTGTGCGAGAAATTCAAGTTGCGTTCCATGACTGATGACCAAGTCAAATGCTTGATATTTGTGTGCGCACTTCAGTCTCGCGCGACGCAGAAATCGTTTACTGAATCGCATAGAAAAAGACCCTTAAATCAATTTGCGGACATAAACAGACGAATGCCAGAGGCTCGAGAACCTCAAACATGACTCAGTCATCGTCGAGCAACGCGGCCCGTCTATAGCCTCATCACAGGTCCATGCTGTCACAAAGACACGGTGAAGGTCTACCCGGAAGCCGCAAAAGGCCGCTACCCGAGGACCCCACACTGCACATAGGAAATGCGGAGAATGGCATTACACATGCTACTGTCCCTTCAAGAAACACGCGGGTCAAAATGCCGCAAACGAGGACACAAGAAAGACCACTGTCATACGAAGCATCCTTCTATGTCAAAGGGATGTCACCAGCCAAGTCGATTCAAATCATCGTCAACAAAGTTTGAACCCAATAGTCAAGCGATCGTGTCTGCTGTCAAACCTGAAATGGTAAAAGGCACAAAAATCTCACTGTCTGCATCAATGGTGAGCCAGTACGCCTGGAAATAGACACCGCTTCTGACATAACTTTGATCTCAAAACGAACTTGGCACGCGCTCGGCAACCCCCATTCAATCTGACCAGCAGAAAGGCATTGAACGTATCTAGCGGACAACTACATCTCATTGGTGGGCTTGTGTGTGACGTTTCGTTTAAAGACATGCAGATTAAAGGAACCTGTTACCTTACCAACTGACCCTGTTTGAATTTAATGGGTCTCGACCGGATTAAAAAGTTGCGTCTTCTGGATGTGCTTCTGAACATCGTCTGTCAACGTGTGTCTATACACACAGAAAGTGCGTCATCTCCCGAACACTTGTCTACAAATGTGACGGCAACCATCAAGGAGAAGACTCAAGCTCATCTAAGCCTCCGTCCGGATGCAAATCCTGTTTTTCGACCTAAGCGCCCAGTGATATACGAGTCATTTCCAGCAGTCGACCCAGAGTTCGACGGACTCCAACTTCCAGGCGTGATCAAACCAGTCAACTACTCATCCTGAGCCGCACCCATCGTCGTGGTCAAAAAGGCTAACGATACCATTCGAATTTGTGCCTTACCGATGCCGTGGATGCACACCGGTATCCCCTACTACTGGCCGACGAATTGTTCGCAAAGGTAAACGGCGGCACCTGTTTCGCCTAGCTGGGCCTAGTTGACGCTTACTTGCAAATGAAAGTCGACAAGGACTCACGGGAAATGTTGACGACCAACATCCACCGCAGTCTGTTCCAGTACCAGCGACTTCCATTCAGCGTAAAGACCGCCCCCGCGATTTTACGACAGGTCATGGACACTATGCGCACGGGTATTGACGGTGCTGCTGCCTATCTGGACGATATAATCGTGACTGGCAAGACATCCAACGAACTATCACAACAATTGCACAGTGTTCTGACACGGATACCGTATTTATCTTAGCATCTCCGTGTCAAATTCGAGTCAGTATTTAGAATACGAATATTTGCAAACCTGTGTTTAGATCTGTGAACAGATAAATTCAACAAACAGGGTTCTGAACTCTATGACCTAATACTTAGTTGATTGTATGCTCTCCAAACATCGGTAGGAGTTCAATATGAGAGAGTATGGACTTATTCATAGATTTTGTATATCATATTTCTGCTGCATATTGGTGTTACAAAATCATAATGACTGTTCCATGCGAACGAGTCCGTATGGTATCATTTTATGGAAGTCAGGGGACATTGAAGAGTACGAACAATTAAATTTTGAATGCATATTTCTTAACACCAAATTTTTGCTCGCATTATTTGATGTGAAATGGAATAACATTCAAGTCAAGTCTAGTCAAGAAGCGGCTTTTATTCTCCCTATAGAGGATGAACATTCAGCTCCTACACAATCACTCTTGTTTGGAAATTACATGGTAACAAAACGTATGATGATACGTTACATATACAAAAAGCCAATTTAGCAAAGGTTTTGTCTAAGAATCCCAATGACAAGATCAGCGTTGGTAAGAAACCGTGCTAGGTATGGTATTATAGAGGACTTGTATGTATTGGTGCGTACTGCTCTATGTTTATACATGGAACGAGTGCTAGATGTGAAGATACATTGACTGAGATGCGGGTACAGTGGGTGAGATGGGTCAAGTAGTATTCTGGTAGAAAGTTTCTGGCATGCTCTAAGGTGCTGTGAAATAATAAACTGCACAACATACTCAAGGGATATGCCGCTGTATTGACATACGTGTTTGATGGATGTGCGTACGAGTTTGAAGTCTTTGATTAAAAGACCCGGAAAATAACAGGGGATGGATAAAGCCAGTGGGAGAGGATACAGGATAAAACAAAACGCTTTATTAAGTGAGTTGGGGTAGATATCATCTTCAAACGAATAATGTAAAAGGTGAGTTTTCTGACTTTGTGGAATGTCTGGACGACATGAGGAGACCAAGAAAGATTGCGGGAAATGGTGACTCCAAGATATTTGACGGAGCATGCTTTGGAAACTTCTTTATCGTTGATAATGACATGCTGACAAGAGTTCATCACATCAATATATTGATCACCCTTCAGTAAAGAAAGTAAAACATCATTACACTTGGGAGGATTCATTCTAAGATTGTGTTGTGAAGACCATTCGGTGAGCAGTGAAATATTCTGCATACGTTTGGGGTACACGGAGGAATTCGGAAACATCATGTCATGTACAACATCATCGGCATACCTAATGAGCAGACAATCATCAAAGGCAGGCATTGAAGAAATATAGGTTGTGAACAAGAAGGGAGAGAGAATATCACCTTGAAAAACTCCTTGAGTGGAGGGTAAAAGTGAAGAGTTACAACCCTTATATTTGGTAAACTGTGATCGATAGGTGAAATAATTACTTAACAAATTGGTAAGCTCCGGTTGAATGCCTTTCTCAGAAAAAGTGTGAAGAACTTTGCACCTATCAACGCAATTAAAGGCATCACTATAACCAAAGAAACATACCCGAACAGCTTTACATTTCCTGTCCAAGGAGCAAGAGATATAATGAATGAAGGATGCCAACGGATCAATGGTTGACCGGGAACTGCAGTAGGCAAATTGGTTGGGATCAGGTGCATTCAGCAGGGCAGCATCTTTTGTGGTAAAACCTTTTCCATGACTTTCAAACCCATTGAAGTACAAGCAATCGGGCAAAATTTGGATGGTCCCTTTTTGGGTACTAGTGTGATAGAAGCCACTCTCCAGCAGTCCGGAATGCAATATTTAGTAAAACACTGGTTGAGTAGGTAGGTGAAAACAGGGGAAAGGGAGGCTGCACATTCTGTGAGCACAACAGGTGGCAGTCCATCAGGACCGTATGCTTTATTAGACTTCAGGTTGATGAAGGTTTTGAATACTTCAGTTTGATCAGTACTTAAATTAACAACATTAGGAGCGGGGACAACTGGAATAGGGTGTCGGTTTCCTCATTGCTGAATTGGCGATTGATATCGTCCACATTGGCAGCTGGATGATTTCCATTTGTTTTGAGACCGCAGAACTCAAACATCATTTTCCATGTATTCCGACAATTTCTGTTTGTCATCAGTGCATGTACATAAACGGTGTTTACTCTCCGCAGTTCAGCCTTGATTGCTTTGAATTGTCTCTCGCCAAAGAGTACTTTTTCATCTTGAAAGCTTGTTCTTTCTTCCGACGCAATCGTTTAAGTATGGGGGACGACAAACGGTCTGACCGTATGCATGAAGTTTCCCACGGGCAGCACGTATCATAACAGAACTTCAAGTATTCAGTCAGGGAATCACAAAATATAGAGGGGCATTATGTATAAATGAAGAGAAATCTGTCTGATCTAATATATCTCTTAGTCTAGCAAGATTTTCGGGTTGGCATTGACGCCGACGAAGACGACGATCACGATGGCGAGTGTAAAACTAATGATTGGATTTACTGTAGATCGTGAGAGATAATTTCAGTGTTGTATGATCCGAGGTACCAACAGGGGAACGGCTGCGCAAGTTAATTAAATTCAGGTCGTTAATGAAACACAAATCAAGACAAGCCTCGAGTCTGGTCGGAAAGTTAACAACGTTTTGTAATCCAAGGGTTGTCAAAAACTTGACATCAAACCTATTGAAGTCACCACAGACGACGCAAAGGGAGGAGTCTACGTAATTTATTAAAGCGGCGGAGAAAATATCTGTGAACTCGTTAAAGTGATTAGTGGAACAAAAAGGAGAAATGTAAATCTTACCAAAAATAATCTTTCGGTAGTTACTGAGGTTTTTAGGTCTGTATTTGTACAGTGAAGTACTGATAAAAATGGTAGAATACAAAAAGACTCGTTTGCCTGATTTGCACCAATTGTCATTTATGTATGTGATAACACCACCACCTCGTTTGTGAACGGGTTGGTCAACTCGGCAGATGGAGAAATTGTCAATGTTGACCCCGTTATCATCAATTTTGTTGTGGAGCCAGCTTTCCTGAAGCATTACGACTCCAACGTTTGAATATTCACGTCTCCTTGTCAGATCTATTACTTCTGTCATGTTAGCAAGCAGGGAGAGCACATTTCCACTGATGACTGCTGAAATGCAGATGTCTGAAACTGGTCGTTTGCGTAGTGCAACCTGCCATCCAGCTCTGTGTTTTCTGGGAAATGTTTTGAGAATTCCGTAAATTCTCCTCCCTCTGTTACGAACGGATTTGCCAAAAGAAGGTAGAATCCAGTGGCCAGAAATTCGAAGTTGCTTCATGAAAACGGCAGAGTATTTCACTGAATTTAGGATGACTATAATCACACAACGTTCCTATGGCAATGAAGGACGTGTGTCCTAGATAAATCCAGTGAAGAGTGGTTGTATAGTTCCGAGTCCGTCGATGAAACGGACCGCTCGGCCAATTTCGAAGTCCCCGCCTTCATCCACATGCACTAATACCGATTACTGAAACATAGCAAGTGATTTGTACATGATTTTGTGAAAGAAATATGACAGAATTTACCCAATTGATGCTCAGTGTTCACTCTAAAAGGCAAAGCCAAGTACGACACAGATTGAATCCGTGAGATAATAATAGGTTAGTGGATGAACCAATCAACTTACTCAATGGTGCACATTACCAAAAACACCGTTTCGTCATCATTTTGAACAACTCTTCTTACGATTGTCGTCTCGAACTGAATCCATTTGGAACAGATAATCGAAGGCAAGTTGCACAACCATCAAACCATAATCAATGATAAAGTGGAGCAAAAATAAAAAACCTCCGGTGTGAATTACAGTGCGACCTTGTTTCATCCTGACGTGCACACATATGTTAAGTAAATGGGCTAATCGGGATATAACTTAAATTATCATACATGAATTATCATACGGGTATTTAAAGCCATTCAAGTGTGGAGCGCTATTCTATTGCTGTGAATGTAGTGATCCGTCATGTCCCAATGGTCGTGGTTGTTATACTCCGACAAACGCGTCGACGGTGATCACCTGTGATTTCACTGCTACAGCAATCTCCATCAGCATGAAAATCAAACCCATTTCGTGAGAATGATGTGATCGTTTTCTGCTGTATAAACTTTGGTGATGAGCCTCGATTTTCGGATGGCTAATGGACCAACAAGCATTGAGTGTATGCACAAAAATCCATGTCACTCACAGGTAAACTGAGTATATAATAACTGATGTGCATCTACTTTATTCATCCATTTCGAATCACTGGAACATTCCTACGGGAAAGTGAAACTCGAGGATTGGGTCATGATAACTGCGATTTCCATTTATTTTCTGCATAAAAGAAAAGTTAAAGTCTAATATATAGAATTTTCGATTGGTCTGGACTCGCACGGGGCGCGGTAAATGAATCTCCGGCTTCGGACAGCACGTATATCTACATCTTGTTCCACCAATCTTTAGCAGATGCCCGC